ACAATCCATTCATCCTCAGATTTATTTTATTTTACTTGTTTCTATCAATTTATTTATTTTTTTAAAGAATAGTGAACGAAACACATTTTTCATATATTTGAAATTTACCCATTTGACCTCATTGATGGTCTCCAAGACCCAGAATTCATACAACATGTATCGAATTGTGATGTTATTAAACGTTTGATATAGTACTTACTAGAAATGGGAGTGGAAAATCGGAGGATAAGTAGAACGGAGTGATTGGAATTCAATTCTTTTGAGAATAGAGTACGAGGTATTATCTGGATTTTTGATAAATTTGGTTTCTTCAATCGGATTTGGTTGACAGTAAAAGTTTTGCTTTCCTTTCAAAGGACACAGATTTTTCACAAAAAAATAACTAAAGAGTTTGAAATTTAGCTCAAATAAATTTTTAATGCTTTTTTGATCTAAATATTACACTATTTATTTTTTATGTTATCAATTTACCATGCTTTTAGAAGATAAAAAAAATTTTAGAATCTATCTACAGCATAGCTATGATTAAAACATTGGTTTTGATATAAATAATAGGATTCGGTGTTGGTTTAGCATATATATATATATGTATAATATCTTTTTTTATATATTTTTTCTCTTATTTACCACTGGTAATTTTCCTAAAAAATTTCTAAAAAATACTTGAAATACTAAATAAGTGATAGATTGTTGATAAAACATAAACATAAGAGCAGGTTTCGAAAATTATAAGTGTTTAAAAGAAAAGCCCTAACTCTTATGACTTTGGCATTTTCACGGAGCGCATTGAACATTGTTTGAAAACTATAATTTTTAGATTATCTGTTCATTTTCAAGCAAATAGTAATACTAATAACACTTTAAATAAAAAAATTATTTCAAACAGATCCATTTTTTCACAAATTTCTATCACATTACATTGCACAAAATATTCTTAATATAAATAATAATTTCAATGTTCATTTTAAAAAATATTTTTTAATGAAAAAAAGAAATATGCTTACTTCTATAAGCCCAACTTTTCATTCCTCTAACTCCTTGCACCAGGGCCAATATACTTTTCTGGCATTCTCCCGATAGATTAGCATCGGAACTCATTCTCAAGAACATAGGAAGAGCCTTTTTCATGTGCCCATCAATAAGTTTCTTTGCTGACTTCTCAAACTTTTGCCACGCCTGATGCACCATTTCAGTTTCAGACATATTATTGAATGTTTTGATCACAGAAGCTTCTGTTGTTGTTGTCCTAGGTTGCGGATTCCAAGATCTACCCTGAGTTCTCCGGTTTGTCGTACTAGTGATTGTCTTGTTGTCCGGTTTGAAAGCAGAAGCTTCAACATGGGGGCTAAGCCTGAGTGGTGCAGCTATGGCTGATGATTCCTCTGAATCCAAAGAAAGATCGGCGCACATTGTGTGTTGGGACAACATAATTGTTCCAATGAAATATACCACGAAGACACCCATGTTGGTTTTGTGTGCGACTTCAATATTTCGAAAGTATCGAAATGTGCTACAGCATGTGTTTTTAAACTAACGATTTTAAAATATTATATATGAAAATGATTATATTCTTCTTAAAAACTACAAGTTAAAAAATTATAGTTCATTAAATCATCCTAAAACTGAAAATCTAAAAAACAGTCTTTTTAAAGTTATTTATAAATAGAATAAATTTATAAATGGAGAATTTTTTTTAATAAAATTATAATATTTACTTTAATTTAACATATAATTAAAAAAAAATTAATAAAATGATGAACTAAAGTAAAATGTTATAATTTTAACCAAAAACTGCTAAGTTCCGAATCGTTGCTTGCTAATGGATAAAACATTTGAAATTGAAAACGAAACCAGCGGCAGTTTTTCGTAGTGAAAACTGTCCGCTGTTCCCCTTCGGACATTTTTCTTCCTGAACTCAGGTTTATTGAAGAAGTAGTATATCGCCAAAGGTTGAAACGATAAATCGCCAAATTGCTATTATTATTTTTTTAAATCCTGTTTCAAAGCATCTTCATAAAAAAGCTATGAATTCATGCATAACAATTTATCAATTCGTAACATTGTGTGTATAGATGCTTTTAACAAAGTTTACATTAAGTAGTTTTAGTTTTTATAGTGTGTTAATTTACAAGTTGAAAATTACATAAAGTCAACTACCAACTTTATAGGCATTGATAAAATTTCTCAAAACATAAAAGATAAAAAGTCAATTTTTGACAAAAATATTTGAAATCGATTATTTCAAATTCGACCCTTTTTAAACAAAAAAAAACTAATCCACCATTTTAATACAGATGACATAACAAATTTATAAATATATATATATATTTTGCTTTTTTGGTTATATTGCGCATTATTAAAAATCCCAGATGAAATTACGGTAAAAAGTACCGTAAAATTCATTTTTGCCAAATCACTTTCACCACATTTTTATCATTTAATCATGTTACGGAACAAAATAAAAAGCTAAAATGTTTACAATATAAATTAAAGCAAAATCACTGAATCACACTATTTAAATAAAGCTGTAAAAATTACGGTACAGTATTTTACGGTATAATTGGATTGAACGGATGACGAACACAAAATTCCAGTACCTCATACTACAATTTGATATGGAATTTTTTTACTGTGTGTAGATATTTTTTAAACCAAATTTTGTTAACCGAGCTTTCTTAAATAATCTTTTGTTAATTTCACTTTTATGGAAAAAGCGTGCATTAAAATTGAATTCAAAAAGTTCCATCACATTACGACAAATCCTGATTACGAATATTATTCTGTTCCAAGGATATAAACTACATAAAAAACTACGGTATGAAGTACCGGCACATTAGTTGCACCATCAGTAAAATCCATTTTATTGTAAAATCGATTTACTCCATAAATTCTTATAGTAATTTTTATTTAATTTGACTAATTCAGTGATTTTACTGTAAATAATACTACATAAACTGCGGTATTTTTTGTTCCGTAACATGTTATGGTAAAAATGGATTTTACTGTAGAAAGTACCTGCACCCTGTGTATCAGTAATCTTTGCAGTAATTTGATCCGAAATTCTGTACAGTGTATACTTATAGAGTTTTGAACGAGTGCGAAAATTCTATTTTGAACATTCGGCCATTTTACATCTCTGTAAATAAAGGAAAAAGTTAGAAAAAAATCATATATCAGCTGTTTTTTAATAGTTCATTACATACCCCCCCCCCNCCCCCCCCCCCATTTTTTTTTAATTTTGATGAACTTTTAGTTAACAACACAGATAAAGATCATAATATTTTGTAATATAAAAGAAATTGTCTTGTATTAATTAGATTTAATACACCAGTGCCTGAAGTAAGTCATAAATTCCATTAGTTTTTAAGACTAATTCCTCAAACATTTTAAATATCACAAGATATCTTAAAATAACTTTACTCGCTTACATCGTTTCATAACGCACTTTATCCAACCATATTATCATGAAAATTATATTTAATTATAAAATTAAATGTTTCGAAATTTTAAAGGAATTATGTTTTATGAAAATTAAATTTAAAAAAAAAATTCGTTGAACCCAGTTGAAAATTCGTTGAAAATTCGTTTTCCATAATCACGACCGTAAAGTAAACATTTATATATGAGTCTAATAGTTGTTTAATCTAGCATAGAACTTTAAAATTAAATTTACGTGCTGAAATTTATGTGCTAATTTTAATATTAGCATTAGAACTAGAATCTAATAAAAAATAATTATGCATTTAAATTTATCTTTAAATAAAATTAAACTATTTTCCATAAATCGTTAGTTAATCGAATTAAACTATTAACTATAAATTAAACTATTTACTATAAATCGTTAGTTAATCGAAGCAAAACTCATTTTTACAAGAAAATCAATTCTCCAATGAATAAATATGTATATAAATAAAAATTTCAAGGAAATTATTAACATAAATTTAATTATCGTTTGTTTTTTGCGCTTTTTGTGCTCAAAATTTTTTACCCTTTCTTCAAGTTTTCAATCAATTCAATATTTTTCCTTGACCATGCTAGCAGACATGCATTGATGATACTATTTGAGCATGTCACTAAATTTCTTTTTCTTAAAATGGCCTCCTTTTCACTTCATGCAACAACCCCCTTGATTGATTCGCTTTAATCAGTATTGTTTTTTTTTAAATGTGAATATTATCCACAAAAACATATTTTGTCAATAATTTACAAATATTATGTAACAACATTTGGTAACAATCGTAATGAAATGCATGATTACCTGAATTTGAAAAATATTCATCAGTACTTGAAAAAATGAATTTGGAACTCAGAATGTGTAACACAATAAAAAAAAATTATGAGAAGTAGTTCTCGTTTACGAGATTTATTTTATTGTAACAGTAATTTTTTTTATTTATTTATAAACTTTTAAGATCTCAAGATATTAAAAATTTAAAACTTCGACATTTTTAAAAAGGTAGAAATCTTAATTAACAGGTAAATTTTCTCTCTCTCTCTCTCTCTCATTTCATTCTTTTTTTATTTTTTGTTGTTACTTTTGATATTCACTCAAGTGCGAACTTATTATATAAAGATTTCCAGTGAGATAAATAAGTGTCTCTACAACGATGGATAAGTATACATTATTTCTCGCAAATAAGTATTTTATATTATTTTATCCGTCGTAAAACAGCCGACCCAATTTTAGGTTTACGACTACTAATGTTCAACTCCGTAGCCTTGTAATTTTGAACCAATCCGGAACACAAAAAAACTCCTGGATTAGTATCCTCAGAGATACAGATTAGTATCATGAAAATAAGTATGAAAAAATTCGCCAAAAAAGCCGAAAAATGCAATAATTTGGAATTTTCAAAATATTAAATTCAAAAATAAAAATTGCATCTTTTAACACGTTAAATTTCAGCTCCTTAGTTGCATTTGTATAGGTTGTTAATCGGCTGCGTGCTATTTTATGCTATAAGTTATACATGTAATAAATCTGGAACTTTGTTAATTGTTTTTATTCCATCTAATATATCAATTGTTTTTTATTCTATCCTATTCTTTGTAAATTTTTCTACAAACCTTCGTAATTGCACATTTTAGTCTTATAGGTTTCGCGCAGCAAATCAAAATGTAAAGTTGGACGTAAGAACTGGAAGCAATAAAGATTTTTTAAAGTAGAGAGGTATATTATTGATAGTAAAAATTTTTGGCAAACATTATAGGATACTAATTTGAATAATATATGAATTGAATAATCCTTAAACTTGAGTAGAGAATATCATAAGGCAATTTAACTCTGTATAAGGGTAGTAGTAAAATTGCCTGAAATTTTGGCACAAAGTATAATCATAATTATTAAATTTTTGACACAATTTTATTTTTTGGATGGGCATTAAAATTTATTATAGATTCGGGTATAACAGAACATCCCAGATTTCACTAGCTTTTCATCCCAAACGACTTCAAAAAATTGTGTAAAAAACATGAAAACGTCACAGACTTTCAGACAAAGTTATTCAACGAAGAACCTTAGTATGGTTCAAAAATGTTATAACTTAAAAAGAATTTTAAATGTATTTGCATTCCCAATCAAGTCGAATCATGGTACAGCGTATTCAAGGTTAAAGTGCTTCATGCTTAGATTAAACTTAGGAAAGCTCAAAGAAATGTTAAAAATTAAAAAAAAAATTTTTTTTACATTTCTTTGAGCTCTTAGATCATACTTAGATTCAACTTAAGAGCGCTCAAAAGAATGTTACAAATTTAAGAAAAAAGAAGAAGAAAAAAACAATAATAAAATTACGTTTAAATTATTACATAAAATTACGTTTAAAATTATTAATATCATATTTTTATGTAACTATATAACTATAAGCCAGTTTAAGATTTTAGAATACTGCCTCATAGTTAAAAGTATTTTTATCGTCAAGGAAAACATTTTATCCGATAAAAGTAATCCATTTAGTACAAATTTTATCCATTTTCCATTTTTTAATTCAAAAAAATATTCTTTACTCTGAGTAACTTGAAAATTAAAAGATAAAACAAAGCTGCTTTTATATTACGATAACGCATTATAAAATCAGCTTTATATCCAAAATTGAAAGTAGCGATTACTTGCCAAATGTGGTAACTGGTTGACCGATCTGTCACTCAATCGGCAATTGTTACGAGGGCTAATAACCTGCTGCCCTGCTTTTTTACCTTTTTATAAGAAAGAAAAATAAAAAGGAACTTCTTATTATTCTTACTAACTTCCTTTAGCCTTTGGCAATGATCCTCTTCTTGTTCCGGTGGTTTCTCTTTTTCACATAATAACTATTTCTTTCTCTTAATTACGACAAACAATTAATGTAAATATCTCGTTTCTTTTTAGACAAAAAAAATATTTAAATTTTTTTCCGGAATAGGTTTCCGTCACTAACGTGTAACTTTTAAAATTCAGTAAGACCTCAATTATTCGAAGTAATTGAAACCGGACCTACTTCGTATAATCGAAATAATTGGTTCATAGAAGTGATATTTTTAAAAACTTTTTTTTCACAAATAAATTAAAAAAATGTTTTTTATATGTTATTTAAATTTAGTTTTAATTTGACAATTCAGCAAATTTCTTTTTATCA